CTGGATTCGCGCCTCTCATCGCACGTTAGATCCCAAGCCATATCCCGAGATCGCAGCCGCGCTCCCATTCCCTGTGCTTAGTCACAAGCGGAGTGAAAGAAAGGATGTCAAGAACGGCGAGGTCTATGATCTTCAATGCGAGTTATGGCCTACGAATTTGGTAGTAGAGGTGGGCGAGCGTCTTGTTTTCGAAGTCACGGCCAAGGACCCTGAAGGTTGCTCTTGGTTCACGTGCAATGATCCCGTTGATCGGTATGTATTTCAATTTTCTCTCCTCTCTCCCTGTTAGTACCTTTTACGCAAAACTTAGGTCAGTACTAACGTGCGAAATCTAATTTTTTGCGGTAGGAATGCACAAAAGCTAGGTGGAACAAATACGATTCACATTGGTCCAAAGTATGAGAATTATGTGGTTTTGCCTATAGTCTAGTGTTGCCTAGTCAGACCTAGCTATGATAGAATGCGTATCAATTTGACTCAAGAGATCAAGATGGTCATGCTCTTGAGGGTATTTATTTCGAGAACTGCGATTTTTTCCTAGAAGGCCCTCGTTTGATGTTGTCTATCAATCAAAAACCATAGAACTAAAAATGATATTATGAAAATTTGGTGCTGTACTATTTCTGAAAGCCGTTACCGCTGACTTTTGAATGATTCCATATGTGCCTAGCCAAGGTAATAGTTGCGTGGTCATACCATCAGTAACACGTATGTCTAGGTCGTATCTTCCTTATGCCCAAAAACAATAGCAATTACTCTCATCCTCAACTTAAACGCTTCTATATCAATACCATCAGTGCTCAAATCCCCAAGTCTTAGATCTTCGTGCAGATATATCAGGGTGCTGTGTCAGCCAGCGCAACCTAGCCGGGAGAGAGGTATAAGTCCAGCCACTCCGAAAAGCCAAATAGGAAGTCATCCCCAGTAACCGCACCCCGCACTACACCGCGACTTCCTTGTGCCCGTTCGCTCCTCCGGTACCTCAGTTAATATAAAACTACCATGCTTACTGGCACCTACTTGCTACAGCTGTGACTGCAATAGCCATGGCTCGCCATACCTGTGATGCGTGCGGTATTGGATTTCAACGTGCCGAACATCTCTCTAGGCACAAGCTGCGTCACCTCGGTCATCGTCCATTTGCCTGTCCTCGGTGCGAACTTGGATTCTCACGAAGGTGAGATCGTTCTGCTTTGGTGGCTTGTACATATCAATACTGAATTTTTCTCGCTCAACCTCAGAGATACACTGCAACGGCATTTGAAAGTGCATGATAGACCTCACGACCAACGCCTCTCACTCAATGGCTCGAAGCGTAGGATTAAGCATGCCTGCTGCGCTTGCTCTCAATCTAAGTTGCGCTGCGATGGCAAAAGTCCATGCAGCCGCTGTCAGTCGAAGAACCATGCATGCCGGTATGACCTGTCGGGGTCCTCCACCACAAAGGTGAGCCAGTAACCAAACTGGAGCGAAGTCTGTTGAATGATATTGTGCCTCTCTGACAAGTATTCCCAGCAACCAAGTATGCCACAGCTACTCGAAACTCAAAAGCAAATCTCTGATCCGGCCATCGATGCTCTTCCTGAGGCCCAAGAAATTATCACCTCGCAACCGCTTCGAACGGCCACATATGATGAGGAAAACGACAGCTCTCTCGATTTTCCAACCGTTCCACTAGATGGGAACGCAATTTCAGGACCGGATTTGGTCAGAGCCAAAGGTATCTACGAGCTAGTTCCCAGTTTAGAAAACTCTCCAGACGATACGTCGGTCTCGGCATCTTTAGCTGCCTTGAAACAAGCTGGGGTACAGCCCGAAAACTCCGTTCTAGGCCGTACAGCCATTGATCAGCTATCTGACTTCTATCCCTTCTGTCCAACCGCGCAAGAAACAGCTTTTTGGGATGATCCTCAGTACTTAACTCCGCTTTACCAGGGGCCATACGCCGACTTTGGGTTCCTTGCATCTCCGGAGCAGGCTCAACTTCTACAGAGTGAAACATCCCTTTCAGAACCTGACCTTGACCAGAGTGTGTCGGACGCGCCCGTCCCGACCTTCCTTGATGCGAGATCTAGTCCAGAACCGCAAGCGGGACAGCGTCTACGATTCGGCGACTATTTGCAGAAGACATTTGCTCATCGACGTCACCTACGTAATCCGGCTGGAAACATCCAGACCAATGCTACGGGTCGAGACTCGAGAATTTCAAGTGCCAGGGCCGAAAAAGTTCATTGTCTTCCACTAATGGGGGCCTTTTCGCCAGTATTGACTTCTGAGAGCGGTGATCACATCTGGGAGCCAGAAAATCTGGCTCACGTACGATATTTACCACATCAAACCTACGATCGAATTGTTGGAAAGTTCAAAAAATTCAACAAAACTCATGATCAATACATCCAATTTGCGACGGGAAGCTTTCCATCTCTCGCTGCCTGCAACGCCTTTATGCAGCTTTTCTTCGAGGAGTTCAATCCGCTCTTTCCACTCCTTCATCAACCGAGCTTCGATCCCGCTGTTGAGCATTGGTTGTTAGTCCTAGCGGTAATAGCAATGGGATGTCGTTTCTCGCAAATCTCAGCAGCAGGAGAGTGCGTGGATCTTCTACAGGAGCTTGTTCGTCGTGCCTTTTATGCCACGGTATGTGTATATAACCACCCAGATTATCCGCAGTACGTAGAAGCCAATAGAATGAGAATCTCATGTAGATAATTTAGATCGAGGAGGATTATAGCTCCACATGCGAACCATGGCTGGCCCAGGCAGGATTATTGAATCAAATAGGCATGCAGTTTTCCAAAGACTTGAGACTGATATCGTCTGCTCAATCCATGAGAAGTCTTCTCGCCTCGATATGTCGACAAGTAAACTGCTTTAATGAGTCTGGGCGACATGAAGATTTATCAAACCTGCAACAGCCATATGAGGAGTCATGGAAATCATGGATACAGGGAGAGAGTATGCGCCGGTTAGCATATGCATTATGGGTAAGTCTGATACACAGATTTCACGAAATTATGTTTACAGTCGGACTAATCTGGTTTATCAACCTCCTACCAGTAGCTCGTTGACAGCCAGTATATATTGTTTTTTGATCTACCACCAATTCTTCCTACTAATTTACTCCGGGTGCGTCTGCCAAGCCCTGAAAGCCTGTGGCATGCTCCTACGGCCGCTGCGTGGGCTGCATATTTCAAACAGAATAGTGAGTTTTCCCTTAGAAGCTATCGTCCTAATCTTTTTCATTCAGTCGATCAGGCACTAACAATGATTGCAAAGGCGTCTATCAACCGTTGAGTATCCGACAGGAGTTGAAGCATCTCTACAGGACCAAAACTCGCCGGCATAGTCTTGGCGATTTTGCCATTCTTCTACTAGTACTAGGTATCTTCAGAAGTGCTCTTGAACTTCGACATAGTATTGAAGAAGGGTTTGACTTTCAATCCGATATCACGCATGAAACCACACAGTATGGCTCAGAGATAGAACCAGTACCAGATATCTTCGCAGGCAATCGTAAAGCTTTGGAATATCTGCGAATTCTATGTCCTGAAAATGAGGAGGTACATAGAGTGTCCTCCCTAAAGTCTGCAGTCTTTCATCATTATCATACGATTGGGATTGTTCTTGGCATACCGCTGGGGGAGCTCTTCTGTTATGGTGGTTACCGAGTCACAAGTCTTGACATATCTCATTGTCGGAATCGGCTCAGACTTTGGGTCCAACAACGCGGTAGAGAGGCTCGAGAAGTTACTTTCCGCGCAGGTCGAGTTTTCGGTGACATTCGACACTCAAACATGCACGGGTACTACGAGGGCCGTGCGATGTTGGTAGCTTGTCTGAGCCTCTGGATCTATGGTGAAATTGCAGGGCTACATCCGAGTCTAAGCAGCCAGACTGTTGGCAATGGATCTGAACATGTCGCCACTTCCACAATCCGTCTCGATCAACATCTCAGCAGAGAAGTTGAACAATCCTGGGTGGAAGATGGCGCGAGGATGCGGCCTTATCTGGCTGGCGTAGGCAGTATTATGGGCTCAGATGGTGTATGTCGACTTATTCATGAGGGTTCACGAGTCCTTTGTGCCTCTGATAGGTGGCCTTTGTGTGGCGTTATGGGAAAGGCATTGCAGATATTCCACAGACATCAGTCAGGATGGGACTTGTGAAAGGCTGTTCGGAGGTGTCCTTTCCACTTATCTCAGCAGTTCGGATACAATCTTGAGAAGCCCATTCAAACGACAAGGTGGAAGTGAGAGAGAGATAGCATAACCTTTGGCGAGCTGAAATTCAAGAGTAACTCTAAGGTACCGTTTGATTGAAGATACGTTACTACCAATATTTAGAATTTTATTTAATTCATATAGATCAGTTGTGATATTATACAAATAAAGTATATAAATATTATATATTCCACCAGATAATCCGCATCATAGTCGATACAAGGCAGTCCCTCGCGTTCCGTGCTCGCCATCGCAGCAACCGCTGCTCCGGCGTGTACGAGAACAACCCAATCTCCCGCATCGATGTGAGCGCGAACGACGAGCCTACTATAAAGGTCGCACTAGTATGGACTGCCGCAGAAGTTCAGTTCAACATCAGTTCGACGTCTAGTAAACCGGATCCTCACTTACATACCTCCACACTCCTCCATCTACTTGGACTCATTTCCCAGTATCCAACCTTTCACTCGGGAGTCAGGCGTCTCTCCGCCCCCGCAGTCCCCGAAGTCCCTATTTTTCCAACTCTAGCCCCACCGCTAGCGAGCTCCGAGAACTGTGACAAATTAGCATGCGCGCCACAATCTTGCGTTCATCTCGACGTGTTCGACGGGGCTCTGCCAGAGAGGGGTGCGACTAGATAGAGCGTCAAAGAGGCATCAAAGTATAGGAAATAAATCGCGTCTTAGAGATGAAAATGTTTAAGCAAATCGTTGCCGGCTAAGAAGTGGGCTTGATTTTATAAAGTAAAATATGTATCTTTGTAAATGAGTTAATATGCTCGCCCGTTTGGCTTAGTGGTACAGCGTCTCACTCGTATCTACTACGGAATGAGAAGATCCGCGGTTCGATTCCGCGAATGGGCATTTTTTTTTTCTTTTTTGACTTCAAATACATTTTGCCTGCTTTAACATTGGCTGTCGTCAGTGCTTGAGAAAGTCTCCGAATATTGAAATTCTCTATCATATTTTTTTACAAGGTACGTATGCTCATTCCCGCTTAAACTTTCCGAGTTATTAATTCGATCTTAAGGCCTAGAAATACAAACATTGGATGGGCTATTATTATTCCGCATGAAACCTGTCGTCATTAGATCTTCTGGTTGAAAATCGCAAGTTATCGATTGCTCCTGGAATAGGCTCTCTACACAAGTTACTTAGAGCACAATGTGCCGAAAACCCAATCTGCGGGATTTGCTCTACTCTCCTGTGGATGTTCCTAAATCTCAACTTTTACGTCGCTGACGCAGCTCTAAATAAAATGATACCAAGATACCAAGTTCCGGCTACAGCGTGATATTTCCGAAGTAGTTGTATTGAGATGTATGACAAAAGAAGGAATAGATATAGTATCTGCAGTTGCAATTAATTCTATTTACGATAAATAACGTCCGTATAGGGCTGTGCAGAATTGAAAAGACCGATAATAACCATTCCAATAATTGATACGTGGCATACAGGGGAGCCAAGCCAAAGGTGAATACGCCGACATTGGGAGTGCTGCGGAGAGACGGTAGGCGCTGCGGTGATGTGGCATAACCACAGCTTCTGGACAGTGCAGTGATAAATCTGCCATCTTCCGCCCACTTGGATCTGCCTTACGGCGTTGAGGCTGAGCCCAACCCAGACTTCTGCACTTCTAAACTCAGCCACCGCTTACCATATTGCGTTTTAAAGACAGTTATTCCGTCCTTGTACCTGCCATACGCATGAGTTCTTTATGTCAATAAATTTCCTTACAGCTGGTCTTCTAAACCTCTGTTTGGGTGGCGTGTGTGACTGAGTGAGGGAGGTAGGTAATGGCAGATTGCGATGGTTTGGTGTTTAGACCTAACAATAGTATCTATATGACAGCTAGCTATTGAAATTAGGGTGCAAAGTGATCTCAACTTCTTCCAAAGACAGGACAGACGACCCTGCTCGTATGTCTGCCAGGACTACGTTCGTCACGATCATCAGTTGTACAGTTATTGAGCCAAACCTAGCCGATTGACCACACTATTTAACTAGTTAAGCCGTATCTGTATGCAACGCGCTGATATTTTGCCGCTCAGATTGCTCTCAGGTACGCTTTTTGTTTGGGCAATCAACTCTATGTTATAATTCTAACTTTGCGTCGCTAGTTTCAAAATTGCAGAGATGTTTTATCAAGGTCTCACCTAAATCCACTTCCATCGAACCTAAATCCACTTGCCGATGTCACTCGCACTAACAACCCCATGTTACAAACTTCAATTGCGCTTCAATTAATTTGAATTCACGGATACAAAGAACCTGGTAGCATAAATATAAGAAAACGCATTGAATATCAACCAAAGTGGTTGTTGTATATTTTTGTTGAGAGCGAAATACTGGGGAGTACTTGGAGCATACAACGCAGCCTGTTGATTAATGCTGTTGCCTGAGGTGATGGAAGTTTTACTAGCGAAAACAAGTGGATTTAGGTGAGACCTTTATCAATATCAACCTCTGGACCATTCCAAGGATGCGATTCGCCTTATCCGTCTTCTGAAAGGTGGATTTACGGATGAGATTCAATGCGAAATCTTCGAAACCTTTCTCCACGATACTGAAGGAGTCCCTTACGATGCCTTATCCTATACATGGGGAAGTACGGAGCGGTCTACTGAAATAGGCCTCAATGGACAAACGGCACAAGTGACTCAAAATTTACACATGGCATTGCGCTACCTGAGATATAACGAACAAGATAGAATTTTGTGGATCGATGCAGTTTGTATTGATCAGGGAAATCACAGAGAACGTGGTCACCAAGTTGGGCAAATGAGATTTGTATACGAGTGCGCCAATCAAGTTATTATCTGGCTTGGGGAGGGCAATAGCGATGCTGATTATTTCATGGATACGATAAGTCAGCTCCATAGAAAAGCCGCCGCTATGGAAAATAGTTTCAATAAATGGTGGGCCGAGGGGGCTAAATGGAACTTGTTAGCCAGGCAGCTGGAAAGCACTGACAACAACCTCCACAAGCAATGCTCAAAAGGTCTTTGGGACCTCCTAGGACGACCATGGTTTAAAAGAGTCTGGATTATACAAGAGGTTGCTAAGGCTAGGAGAGCAACTGTGGTGTGCGGCTTGAAGTCCGTCTCAACACGGATTTTTGCGATGGTGCCGTCATTGATGGGGTTGGAGCCTGATAGCGGGGTGCAAGCTGTGTTGGATGTGATGCCAAGCCATTTGAGGAAACAATCCTGGTGGAGTGATACACCTGACCTTTATACGCTCCTAATGAAATTTGCTACATGTGAAGCGACGTATCCACACGACAAAATATATGCATTGCTAGGAATATCTTCAGATGCTCGTGACAGCAACCTATTCCCTACCAACTACGAACAACCAGAACACGTGGTTCATGACACTATATCATTCTTGTTATTTCATGAAATTCTGGATCCTTCTGGATATATATTTCCAGACTGGACCTTGGATATTCTTCTACGTAATATCCAGAAATCAGTTGACCTAGCTCATCAGGTTTTCGCATGGGCATTGGACAATTCAAACAATCCAATTCTAAAACGCCTTCTTGAGAATAATGAGTTCGACGTAAACAAATATGGTACCCGAGAATATACACCGCTGCTCCTCTTAGCGGAACGAGGATGTCACGATATGGTTATTGAGGCGCTTCTGGCCCGTGACGATGTCGATGTAAATATACAAGAAAAGGGAGACACAGCACTCATCATAGCGGCAGAAAATGGACGGGAGAATGTAGTGAAACAGCTCCTAAAGCACAAGTATGCCGATGTGAACCACCAGGATTCAGATGGACAAACCGCGTTTTCCATTGTAGTTGAGAGGGATAACAGTGCCTTGATGAAGTTATTTTTCGATCATGAAGATATCGACGTTAATATCAATTTGGCATACGGAGTACCAGTTCTCTGGGGCTTGGCAAGCAACGGCAATTTGGATATGGTAGAGTTACTACTCAATAGGGGGGCTAATATCGAGGTCAAGTGCTCCCAAGGCCGGACTCCGTTATTCATCGCAGCGAGTAATGGGTATGAAGAGGTGGTGAGAGTACTTCTTGAGAGAGGAGCCAATATTGAAGCTGAAGATCATAGAGGCTGGACTCCACTGAGTATCGCACTAAAAGATACAAGAAGACACGCTTCGGTTGTGCGTCTACTCTTGAAATATGGTGCGCACAAGGAGCATCAGGATCGCCATGGTCGAACACCGCTATCTTATGCCGCACAGGGAGGATATACCGAGATAGTTCAATTACTTTTAATGGATGAATTGAACTATGGACTCGAAAACGGTGATAGTCGAGCATTACTCTCCTACTCTGCAGAGAAAATACACACCAGGACGCTGGAGCTATCTTCTAGAAAAGGAGCAGATCAAGAGTCTCGAGATAATGATGGTCGGACACCACTATCTTATGCTGTAGAAAAAGGCCATCTCGAGGTAGCCCAATTGCTCTTACGTAAAGGCGCATCACAGGAGTCGAGGGACAACCATGGCCGAACACCTTTATCTTATGCTGCGCGAACGGATAATGATGCCATAGTTGGACTGCTCCTAGAATACAGATATAACAGTGGTTGAACACCTCTATCTTATGTTGGAAACCCCACTATTGTACAGCCACTGCTGATCAAAGGCGCCAATAGGGAGTCAACCCATCACAATGTAGGTTACCGCTTATTAGACTATTATCTGAAGTGAAAAGTTGATTATCGCAGACATTGTTTCCAATGATAGGATCAAACGTAAGAGAGCTCAGAGTTTAGAGAATAGGAACTTGGTTCTCTAACCGTGATTTTACGCCAACTGAATTACAATAGCAATAAATGGCTTCTAGGACTCAAGCGTTGCTGGGGGCGTCGACGGTAGCTAATCTGCGAGATGTAGTCAAGAGATGTATAACCTAGACAGATAGGTATACGTAAGCGAACATCAAAGAGATCCCAGTACCGCGAAGCAGTATGCCGCTATGATTGTAAAAAGTGATAGTCGCTTATTATTACTGACTGCCTGTCTTCATATGGGCTAGAACATATATTACGATAGAAAAAGCTGTTGGCCTCGTCCTCTTCAGCATACTCTAAAGTCACATGTGAGATCGAAAGCAAGTAATAAAAATATTGATTACCGCGAAGATGTCAACTCATCGGGGCGATAGCTCAGTTGGTAAGCGAACCTAGCTCATTGAAGATTGATAACGATTACTAAAACCCTCAATAGGGAGAGCGTCAGACTGAAGTTAAACTTCATTCTATCAGATAGATATCTGAAGGTCACCGGTTCAATCCCGGTTCGTCCCATTCTTTTTTTGGTTTCTTTTCCCTTTCGCGTATATACTCTCTATTGTAAAAGCCCGACTTATTTATTTATAGTATACACAAAATTTAAACATAAACAAGTCAAAGTACTTATAATATAACTTTTCATATATTCAGGTCTAGTGTTCACACATAAAAGTAGTCGTCACAGCAAGACATAATTTCCAATTATAAAACTAACGGAGGCAACGTACCCCCGTACTAGTCATGACGGGCACTAGTAAGAAGGCCAACATGACTCTCTCTGCGATATGTAAACTACAGCACCGGTACTCCTAGATTGATTATATCTAGTTTGTTTCTCGTACGTGTCATTATATCACCGAGCTGCAACACAGTGAAAGCTAGGTGTAATTATGTATCCTACTGCTAATAAGTCTCGATCTCTTACATAGATAGTATGACTATTAATAGCTCATCGATATATAACCATGAAGCCGCAAGGTTAATTTTTCTTATATATTTATGTATAGTTTAGTATGCATTTCTAGGCAAATGGAGGACTGAATTCTAGTTTGACGGATTTTTGTATTCCCAGGTCCGGATTTCGTTAAAACCCGATTCAATCGAATTGTTTCTTTCAGCTTTCCCTGGTAATTTGTTGACCGTCAAAGCTTTTTACTACGGAGTACTTCTTCTCCATCACCAACTAATCAATAGGAGAGAACAGAAGTAATCTTCGTGTTATTTTACGATGCGGAGGGATGAGCTTATATTTGGTTTATGTCTAGGGCTCGTACTTATTATCATCTTCTGTTATATTCAATTGTCTGGGCCAAGCCTATCGCCTCGAAGGTCCGAACCATCTACTGAAACACCTTTACCTCTATTTCCAGATATAAGTAGTCGTATAACGAAGATGAAATTGTGAGGATAATGATAGAATTACACGAAGTGTTAATCAAGATTTGTTACATCCCAGAGAGCTGGGTGAAGTTTGCGCCGCCTGAAGGCCATCCAGTTAATGTTCTACTCTGTGAAGAACTTAATATTGACCCTGTGGTCATATCCTTGATAAAACGTATTCCTTACATCGAGGAAAAGGATCCGATTAATGAAACATATTTGTATCCAATTTCACGCCCATTTTATTATTTACTCGACGATGAGTTACGTCAAGGTCGTGATCCTGAATTAGCAGATACTGGAGAAGATCTTAGCCTCAATTATTTACTTCCTCAAGATGTAGCATTTACTTGTGGACCTCGTGATGGAGAAGCTATTGTGCTTGACACTAAAGAGAGTGTGTGCCATTTACTGTTAAATCTGCTTGAAGAATATGACGTTAACTTAAGAATAGATACTATTGGTAGGATTCAATTGAACGGACCCGAGTGTTCCCCAGGGTCTGTCCTTGAAAGACCTGATGAGCCTTTTCATTATCGTAACAGTCGTACTTATCATGCACCAACTTTCTTACAACAGTATGTTGATAGCATCAAAAATCTTGATTTACTCCCCGTGGTTTGTCATCAAAGAGATTTTGTGCCGAAAGATAGTTATGAAGTTAGTACCGTTGAGTGAATAAAATTAAACTTGCTTTACTAATATAGAATAGGGTGCAAAGATGAGAAAAGTCCTCATGGAGACGTACGGTTGGCCGCATGAATTCAGGCATGATGACTGGAAGAACGATATGCAACAATTATGGATTATTGCTATAAAGGAAAGTATACGTGACTATGCAGAGGGAATGGAAAAAAGTTTAATGAATCTAAGATAGCATGCTGGCTAATCGTTTCTGGTTAATTTGTTGGCATGATATTGAAAACGAGAGTTGCTTAAATAAACTCTAGTATATGGAAAGAAAGGCTGTGACTTACGGGTACTAAACATTTGTCTACAGTTAAGATAATAGAATTTAATATCTGGGCGTATGGTATATAGCTAGAGTTGATATCCTAGGCCCTACGTTCTCCCACTCTAGGATATTAACTACTACTAAACAAATCTCAAGGTTGAAGCTACTTTATATTGTAACACAATAATAATAGTATACCCGTAAATCTCAACAATCGCCGCTTACTGCGGGGCTCCAGACGATGAATTGGTCAAAACTGACATCATAATCCATTGTTATATCATAGCATCCAGTTCCAGACTAGGTTTCGTAGAACTTGGTGCACCCGCTGACCATTCCTGGGCGTATAGGTGTTGGTGTGCTAGCTCCCTGCACTTGTAGATATTGTGGAAGAGCTGGTTGAAGTACTTGAAACTGGAGGCCTAGAGACTCGATAGCGGACAGTTATCATTAGACTCAGAAGCTTACTTGGCTCCTTCCTTGTAATGTGACCATTTATTTCTTTTCCACATTGCATAGGAGGCTTGTCGCTCTGCTCGGCCTGGTCGGCTGGCCTAAGCAGCTTGGGAAGCGCCCGAAGCTTTCTGAATACCCTCGAACAACTTATCATATGATCGTATCTTCCGACTTTGATAATTTTCAGTATTTACTATGGATTATTACCTTATTATCTCTAGCACTAAAGATATTTACCAATTTTATAAATATATTTAAAGGTAGAACTATTGATTCTGTATTACATTACCCTTGCTCGAGGCTGGGCCTCAGTATTGTTTGTTTCAGATTTGCAACGCAGAGGCTCATGAATGTATGCCAAGACTCGGGCTGGATTATTGAGACTTATGCGTTGTCCATTATTTTCATTTCCACATGCAGATCCGAGCCTCATTATCTACTCTGACGCTCTATGCGCTCAATAACTGTGATTTACCGAAGAATGCGGGATGATGCCTACGCCTAAAGTATCTGTAGCTCCTTGCTCCTGTCACTAGTATGAGGCTCTGTTGATTTATTGATCCTCCCTCCCCTTCCATGAGGATTGCCCATCATAACTCCATTCGCCCCTTACCATCACCAACATCCTTCTTCTTTGCTTGCAGTTGTGTCCTCGTTTGCTTGGGTGTATTAACTTGATTAGTAAAAGTTTTATTCTCTACGAGAGCTTGCGTAACTTCAACGGCCCCTTGGTTACAGTGCGAGCCATCCTCCAGGACTGAATATGGCTTGTGATCCCTTTACTGCTGCTAGTACCGCTACGAGGTTACTTCGTGAGGTCGAGAATGTGAGACAAGCCTCATTCGATGTCGACTCCTCTATTACGGCCATTCGGTCATACCAAAAGAACCTAAGGACTTTGATCGAGTTGCGGAAGGAATGTCGCGAGCTCCTTGAGGACCGGCCTGCTCTCGATAAGAAGGTGGAGGAAGCTATAAATCAAGCCTGGGCAAGTCTGGAGAGTGCGAAGCCAATACTGGAGCGTAACAGGGATGTGCCCAACCCGTTAACCAACCTGGGGCATGGGGTGAGATGGACGTTCTTTGATCAAAATAAGTATAGGCGGCTACTTGAGGAGATACAAAGAAATGATAACCAATTGAGCGACCATATCCAGGAATTACGGCTCTTGCGTGAGCTTGCTCCGGTGCAGCTTGGGGCGGAGGCAGACGCAAATCGGCGGCTGAGAGAGCAAGCGAACACCAAAGCTAAGATGGAAGCTGCGGGTAGGAATCGCCTCAATATGGCGATGGGGTTCACGCCGCAAGTCCCTGCACAGGAACTAGTTCTAGACCGTAGTTCATTCTCAATGGCAAACGGCAGTGCAACGTCTCAGTCTGATGATGAAATGACCTTGGCGTCTAAAGAAAATGGCTCAGTCTCTTCCGACGGGTACGGCTATTAGCTGTAGACCCTGCAGTTATTCCTCGCGAGTCTTACGAGGCGCTAGGTGGTAGGAGCAAGAGATTAGGAACGAAGGCAGCTATATTCTCTGTTGGCTGAAAGTTATTGTTACGGTGGAGTATGAGCAAACGTTAACAAATACGGGCATAATCTCAACCGGTTCGTTTTTAATATTCTGAATAGTAGCTTTTGATGCATACGTGCATCTTGCTTTCATTTATGAACAATATTACATGGAGTTGTCACTGTCTTTAAGTAACACCGACCCACTGTGATACAGGCGCTAGAGTAGCGTCCGCCCAGCCCATCCTGTATATACGCATCTCGACCTCTGATGTGATATTTGTGCCTACCTTTTAGCGTGATCAAAATTTAGAACAACTAAATTGAAACTACCTCTAGGGCGCTGTATGCTTCTCCATCACTGTTGTCTAGTTTCCCTAAGTCTGGCATGACAAGTTTTTGTATGTGGTCTTAGGCGGCTGAGTCACTCATTCGTGCTTAGTGGAGCGAATAAAATGAATTAGGGGATGCAGTTGACAGGAGACTCTTGTCCATTCAAGTCAGACTACAAGAGATTGAACGAATGTGTTGATAGCAGGCAGTAGAAGCTAGAGCGAGCTGACAAAGTGAAAAATCAATTAGAAGCCCCAAAATTAATCCGCGGAGAAGTTAAGAATGTAATGGAATGCTTTGGAGTTTGGTCTGTGCAACATGGCCGTAGATAGAAGCTAATGTTCCTGCTTCTATCGTTCTGCCAGTGGTGCTTGGCATTCCGGTAAATCCTGAAAAGGGAGATATTTCATTGAGAAGCACGATTAAATTGGTTGAGCAAATTAGAAGCGGATTGATGTAACTGGAGTTTGAATAGTGATCCCTAATTTAGAAACATTATTGTTAAGTACATAGTGATGGCTGCCCTGGTCAGCCGAATTTCCAAGGGAGGTCGTATATCTGAGTAGCAATAAATTAATGAAGGGTCCGGAAGTGAGAATGAGGGTGGTCAACCAAATGCGCACCGATCCTTTTTGTGGTTTTTCTCCGTAGGACGATGGTGACACTGGTCGATTTTGACACGGTCTAGTGGTGGGATACATTTTTAGTTGGATATACCATTGGCCGCAAACCACTGCAGGAGCTATCAGGATTGTTTGCTGGCATGTTTGAGTCATATTCACTGGAACATGGGAGTGGACTTCCTTCTATGGACACAACGATGTCTAAGCAAGAGTCCCTTATCCGGCATTGTTTAGAACAGCTAAGCTTTCCAACATTACAGTAT